ACTAAATTGAATTCAAAAAAGTATTTATAGAGATAATTTTTTGAGTTAGATTTATATACATTATGAAATAAATAAATTAATTAAAATTAGAAAATTTCCTTTATGTTTCTTTTTGATATTGATGATGGACGAAAGTACTTCAACTTAGAAAACTTCATGACCTGGACTACAACATGATTATCTGAATTTTTATTAAATGAGTGCAATTTTATTTATTAGATTAAATTAATAGATATAAATTAAATTTTTACTATGCCAGTTTGCAATCAAATTCTGTGTTAAAAATAGAATATAAACTTAACTCAAAATGTCTAAATATTAATTTAGCATTAACAGTTGAAATTGACTTTTATTATTTAAATTATTTAACCCTAATTAAATAAATAAATCATTTATTAATTAAAAATTAACAAATTAATATTGTAATTAGCCTAGTTCAAAATCACTAATCAGCTATATTATTCATTTTTAAATTTAATCACCATGCCACTACCTAAAAATATTTTCAAGTTACATTTATAAAAAGTAAGTAGAGTAGTAGATAATCCGGTATTAAATAAAAATGGTTATATAATATTAAGTAAAATGTCACTATTACAGACGTATATGACAGTATAGAATATATTACAGTTAATATTTTAATAAATTTTGATAATAAATGTTTTTGATAATAAATATAAGTAACAATATGCATTTATTTATTTACGCCATCTATTTGATAAAAAATATTATTAAGAATTAAACATCTTATTATTCATCCCACAAGAGATGTAATCTTTTAGATATTATTTTTTCCTTTTGTTTTTTTATGTATTTTTTGGAAAGCTATTTTTTTGAAAAATAGTTTTGAGTTAAATTTTTAATACGAGATTTTTGATTTTATTACAAACTACTATTATTTTAAGATATAATATACTAACTAGAGGTGGTGCGACAATATATAAAATCTTAATTGCTTTCATCATATCATTCTGGTCCTTATTTTATAGTTAAAAAATGTATTATTTCATATAGCATCATTGCAGTCTCAATAACTCAAATATTTGCATAATTATTTATTTCAAAGATTTTTAATGTTTTTATTTTATCAATTTATCTAACATAATAAATTCTGATATGAGTTTACATCGTGAGTGTCATGACTATGACTGAAAATTAACCAGCATCTTTTATTTGTATGGCTATGTAATTTAAGATTATAACTTCTGCTACTAAGAGCATTTGATTGCATAATTTAGATGAGCAATAATGGTCACCTCTCTAGTCGTTTATATATCATTAAAAATGGAAGATAATCTTTTAGAATTTTAATATCTCACAATAATTTACTCAATTACTTATCTAGCTTTATAATGTCATCCAGGTCTAACCACCATATAGTCTTATAATTTGAATTAGTCGTTTATATTATCCTCTTCATGAATTATTGATTTGAATAGGCCGGCCTACAAATTTTTCCTTATTAGTCAATTCTATAAAATATTGTCTAAATGGTATCACAACGTTATATTAGTTTAATGACTTTTTGTCAATGTAGGTTGCTAAGAATTATATCACTTTATGTGGTTTTTAAATACCATTATCAATTGTTAATTGTAATTCTTTAGACAAAAGAAAATTTTATATTTGCAATCGAAAATAATATTGTAATAAATGGATAAATATTTTGTATTAAAAAATATTATATTTAGAAATGTCTTGTATTGTTTTACTTTTATTATTTATATGCATAATATAAATAAGAAATTCAGAATAATTGCTAAGAGTTTGCAAATTTTAATTAAAAAGGTATAATATATTTTTATAAAATAGGGAATATGGGGGGGGCATACATTTTTTTTAGTGTGCCCCCTGAAATTGTAAAGGTTAGTCATGCCCCTGCTATCATGCCATAAATTAGTTTAGTTTTTTAAATATCTTTTATTTTTGTCAAGTATATTTCATAGATTTATAATAGTATATAGATTTAAATACTTCAAGTCAAATATTTTTTTTGATAATAATAATAATTTTTAGATTTGTATTTTTAGTATTTTACATATTTAAAAATCACCATTTTCAGCAAAATGGAGGGAAAATAAAGGGATTACGATCATATCTCAAATGGGTCTATTATTTAATACACTTAAATATTTATATTATAATTTTTCGATTGTATATACGTCATGTCCAATCAAAAAATGTAATGTTTCATTCAAAAAAGGAAGAGTTCGAAAGGCCATATCAATCAAAATAGGTAAATTTCCATTCAAAAACAGAAAATAGTTATTTTAAATATTTTTTAAATTTTTTTATTCTTAAAGATCTTATAGAATGCTTGCCAAAATGGTGCCCCAATAATATTTGTTTTTATTGGCATATACTTATTATTTTCATAATGTTAATTAATATTTGTATAATTTTTATTGTTCCTTCCTGCCCAATAAATTATCTACTGAAGATATAATGATTTATATTATGGAAATAGATAAATTAATAATATTTTTTTTTAATATACCTCGTCAGCCCATATCTATATTATATTTTTTGTTTAAACTCTTATATCTCATGATTTTTGATTCATCGCCATTTGTTACTCACCACACTTTGTGATTTACAATCAATTCTGATTCCGTGCCATTTGTGATTCCTAAGCCACACTCCCCCGAGCCGAAGGCCGAGGTAGGGCGTAACCCTACTATATCAAATTTTATTTATAGTCTAGGGAAGAATCTATCCATTTTTTTAGGAGGAGGGCTCAATTTTTTTAGATTCTGCCAAAGAAAAAACAAACATAAATTTTTTTACTTAGTATTTAATGGGAAAATAAATAACTAAAAAGGATGATAAACACCTTTTTATTCCAACTCCTAAATTTATAAACCAAAAAAGAAGCTAATAATGATATATGATATGAAACCAAACTACAATTTTGAAAATAATCTCTAAGGCCATTTCCAGGCAAATTTTTTATTTCCAAAAAAAAATATTAACTTCTCGAATTAATTTTTTTTATATAATATAATATAATATTTTAAAAAAAACAATCTAGATCCCCATTTTTTTTAATCGTAAATAGAAAACAACTGGTTTGATTTTAATAACGATTAAATGGCATTTTTTTGGAATAAATAAAAATTGCTGGTAACATTACCCAAAAACAGCTTTAAAAAAACGTTATGTCTGGAAATGCCCTAAGGATGAAAATAAATTTCTACATTAATTTTATAAACAAAAATATTAGGAAATGTATTTGTTTTTCGATTAAAAAAGTAAATAAAAATATCCCTAGAAAGTATAATTTCTAAGAATCTTGTTTAGAATTTATAAAAATCTGTGTGAATTTTTAAAGAAATCTTCATTTTTTTTTCCAACTTTTGTAAACAGTATCTAAATTGAAGGGGGGTGGTAGGTTTCAATTCATCAGGTATCTCGAAAAACTGATATTTCATAAACTTCAGTGAATCGGATTATCCAAAAAGAGTTGTAGCTAAAAAAAAGAAGTAAACCCAGTACCTAACCGATGAGAGTAAGATTGCCCGTCTGGTATATAACAAACAAATTATACGAAAATACACTATACGTTGCAATTTCAGTGCGAAAAAAAAGTTACAGCCAATCGATTGCTACTATAGCATTTGACTCAAATTAATTTTAATTTTATGTTTTTGTTTAATTGAAAAGTTTAATTTAGAAAAAAAATTTTAATGTTGGAAAGTTCAAATTTTGTTTGTTCAAATTAGAATGCGCACTTTAAAACCTGTTTATAGAATTCGGTGAAATTTGCAGAAAACATTGATAATTTATTCCTCTCTCAAATTATAAAATTTTATTGATGGCTTTTAAAATTGACAGATTTTACTGCCAAAACAAAGGGGTCTGAGTTTAATTGGATGCCAGTGTACTACCTTTGTGATTTTAAAATTCCTGTCGACGAACTTTAGATACATTCGTATCTTAAGGGTAGATTTAAAATATCCAAAGTGTAATTTTTGGAGCTACCGTTCTTTTAGCCATGGCCCTTTTTCAGTTATAAAGAAAACACAAGGAGAGGATAAAACGTAGAAAACCTTATTATATTCTAAAAATGTTTTTTTCTAATTATAATGGAAATAAATTTTATAATAACTGTGTTTCTAATTTCTTCCCCTAAATATCATTTTAAGCTAATAAAAATGTTTCCCATATACACCACCACCTCCCTCTTCCCCAAAAATGTTTACAAAAAATCTTTTATTTTTTTAGATAAAAGCATTTTTATATAAAAAGTGAAATAACAAATCTATAATAAGTGGGCCTAAAGATCTCCAATAGGGGAATCGCATATAAGAGTCCCCTCCCCATTAGAAAAATTCTGTGTTTTCATTACAACTAGGGTAATCATCTTCCAAATAATTGCAGAATGCAAGCGACACAGGTGATTTCACCCCCACGATTGACGAGAAGAACAATTTACAATTATCAATGTAGTTCAATATAGCTGACAGTTTGATAGACTAAATCCCGGACTCGTATTGGCAAATCATTGCTTTTGCTAGCTTATAAACTCATGGGGTTTAGCAATATAAATATCAAAATTTTGTAAAAATGCACAATTAAACTGAAGGTTAAAATTATTTTAAATAGTTACCTGTTTGGGTAATTAAAGGAATGAATTTCAAATGAATCTGATTTCAAACTAAAGGATAAAGTTAAAATAAAAATGTTAATATAAAATCTCCTACATTTAATTTGATTGTATCGAAGTTTAAAAAAAAAATGTGGAGATATAAAACTGAAATAAAATATAATTCGAATACAATCAAACGTGTTATCAATAACTTGCCAGCAAGAAGAGTTCCTTTTCCGTTGCATCGAACCGTAGGAACAACCTGATTGGACATGCTCATATAAGAAGGCTTCGTCGAAAAAATGGATCCCACACCGACTCCAATTCGATTGGCGATGTCAACGATGTACATTTAAATAAAATCCAACCTTAGAATATAGGGTGTTTCGAATTTTTTTTTTCTCTTTAGCTTTTACCTTCTGGTGGTAAGCTCTTTCAATATATCTTTCCACTTAATGTTATTCATACTATCACTTTTATCTAATCTATACTTCTTCATATTGGCTCTAACTTCATGGCCCCATTGAAGTTTTGGCCTTCCTCTTTTACGTTTGCCCCTTACTTCCAAACTCTCAACCTTATTTCCTATGTAGTTCATAGGCCTTCTCATTGTGTGCCCACATCTAAGTCTGTTCACCATTATCTTAGTTTTCATAGGCACTACCTTTAAACTTCCTAGTATTCTTGTACTTCGCACCTTATCCTTTTTTGATACCCCAGCGATCATCCTCAGCATTCTCATCTCCATAGTTTGTAGACTTCTCTCGTTTGATTATTTGGTTTGCCATGTTTCCGAACTATAAAGAATAGTTGAATTCTTCTCTTCAATTTGTGTGGGATTCTTTTGTCAAAGAGCACTCCAAATAAAGATCTCCACTTTAACCAACCTTGATTAATTTTACGTTTGTTTGTATAGTGGAGCCCAAATATTTGCAGCTTTCAATTGCCGATATCTGCCATTCATTTATATCAATGCTCTCTGTTTCATCTCCTCCTATCACCATATACTCCGTCTTTTCTCTGTTTACTTTTAGTCCTTGCTTTTCTAGGATATTTATCCAGCTCATTAATCTTTCTTTCATTTCATTATTGGATTCGGCAAATATAACAATATCATCTGTAAATATCATATTCCACGGGACTGTTTGTGGTATAGACTGTGTTAATACCTCTATTACTGTTATGAAGAGAAGTGGGCTGAGAGATGACACTTGGTGACTCCCTCGGCGATTGGAAGCCTGGTGAAGTACCAGTTGTGCTACGGATCATTGTTGTATGGCCCATATACATATCCTCTATTATTCTTATATATTTTTCGGGATTTGGTGGCATAGCGCCCACCAGATAAGTTTTATAGGAATTCTATCGGAGGCCTTTTCTAGATCGAGAAGAACCATGTGTAGCTTTTTGTTCTTTCCCCTGTATTTTTCACTCATTTGCCTAATTGCGTGGAATGCATCAGTTGTTGATCTTCCAGGCATAAAGCCAAACTGAGTCTCTCCTATTATGATTATGTCTCTTAACCTTTTTTCTATGATTTTTTCGTAGAGTTTAAGACAGTGAGTCATTAGTTTTATGCCCATGTAATTTTGACAATTGTGTGGATCCCCTTTATCTTTGAAGATAGGAACTAGATAGCTCTGTCTCCATTTTTGAGGAATCTCTTCATTTCCCAGTATTTTATTGTACAAATTTGTGAGAAAATGTATTCCATCATCTCCTAGCTTTAAGGCTTTCTATTGGAATATCATCTGGACCCCTAGCTTTGTTGTTTTTCATATGCTTGAGGCATGTGATTATTCCTTGTTCTGTTATTGGCTGTATAAGGTTTTGACAAGTGTTTGTGGGGATTATAGTTGAAAAGCTCCTGAGAATATTCTTTCCATCTATTCATTATTTCTTTTTCCTTTATTACCAATTTCCCATCTTTATTTTTGATTACTTTCGTAGCTCCGTTTATATCCCTAGAATTCTTTTCTCGCTGTTTGGCTAATCTATATACGAATCACTATTAATAATTATTTAGCGAGGGACTGTTGATTTAATTCATTGAATCAGAGGAGGAAATTTTTATTTTGCCATAGATTTACCACATTTTCCAGAGTTTATCCCTGCGTGCAGGGATCTTCTGATTATTTATATTCCTACCTGTTATTACAGATATTTACGAATTCCTTTTTTCAGTTTTTTATGTAAAATCTTTTAAAGTCTTTTTGGATGTTGTAATTATAACTGAATAAAATAATTTTGACTATATAAATAATTTACAAGTATTGAAACGCGCTGACAGGGCTGAATTAACGACCATTAGTGATTAAATAAAAATTGAGAATAAGTCAGTCCAGTACCCTTGTGATTTAATATATAAATACGTAATCAACCTTTCCAAAAATAAGTTAGTTGTAATAAAAAATTATAAAACACTGTTCACCGTTAAATAGTTATTCTCTTTTCTTGGATTAGTTAATTATCATTCATGAGTCTTATATCCCTGTTCGCCTTTATACCTCCTAACTTGTAGAAATATTATTTATTATTGGTCCTCTTTGGAAAATAAATAATTTATCTGGAAAACATATTATCTAAAGACACGATAATTCCATATTCATCAGACTTTTGAGTAATATTGTGTGAGGTAATGTGAGATGGTCTAGGTGCCTTGATTGCTCATCATTTTCTTACTAGTCAGGAAAAACTAATTTCATACATTCAGAACACTTCCCGCTACCGAAAAGAACTACACCACGATTGATTGAGGAGCATCTGCTATTATGTGGAGCAAAATTATTTTTACCAATATATATATATATTATATGGGAAGCATTGGGATTTAAAGAAAATAACTAATTACTGTTTAGTAATATTTAGTGGTATGGTGGGCTACAAAATTATTAAAATAATTAGGAAATCATTCATCCTCGAGTAAACCAAAAGAAGTGCGCCAACGCTCTATTCCGATTAAGGGTAGAGAAAGCAATAAATGGGTTAACTAAAAAAATTGAAAATGTTATAAAATAAACTCAAATTAATTAAAAAAATTGGTATATATATATAAAATTTTAATAATTATTTCAAAATTACAAAAAAATTTATTTCGATTAAAGATATTTTAGGGGAAGAATTATTATATTTTAAATGATAGAATTATCATTCCAGATAAATTAAAGAAGGAGGCTTTGTTCGTGAACTATCGAGCAGCTTAACACGGTATATTTAGAATAAAAATTATTATGTAGACATTAGGTTTTGGCCAAACTTAGTTCGTGGTGTTGACAACTTCATTATCTAAAAGTGATCAAGAATGAAGAACGGGAGCCAGAGAAGTTCTACTATTATACAATAAGAAAATTTCCACCCTACCTTGGGAACTCATTCACGTGGATATGACAAACTCCATTTTAACACATTTACATTCGGTGAGTGTAATAAGCAATCTATGTATTTTGCTAGATTTGGACTACCTCGCTATATTGGCTTAGATAACATTACTCAATTTATCGGATCTGAATTCAAAATTTTCTTTTCAGAAACAATCAAACATTTTAGGTCGGCATCAGCGCCTTCATAAACGGGGGGGGGGAGAGTATGAACAGTTTGAATCCTATTTTTTTGAGGAGGGTAGGGGGTAGATATTTGAAGGAAGTAAGATAAATTTATTAGGGGATTATCTATTAAATTTTTAGATAAAATAAGGCATATGTATTGCTGTATAAATTAATACTTTTATTATAGAAGTATTTTAATACAAAGGTATTACTAATAATCGACCAAATCTATATACACACGCAATCATAGACATTATTTTCCAAAATAAATTATTTCTGGATAATTTTATGCTATCCTTTAAAATGTAATTTCAAAGGGGGAGGCATTCTATCAGTAAATTCATATTCATGCCAAACAATATACTATAATAATGCATTCATTGTAAATTAGGGGATTATTAATTGAATTCAAGTACTAAAAAGTGGCTCTTTTAGATTCACAATATTTTGATAGTTGGTAGTGGAGAATTAATATATTAAGTTATTCTTAAAAATTTATGAAAGGAGTGCCATTATGATTAAAAAGATGTAACTAACAATATGGGAATATCGCCGATGAAGGGGGCAAAATTTTTTAGGTGGGAGGTAAATGTAGGTTTTTAAGGGTAGGAAGGGTTGCATCGAGTAAAAATTCTGTCATGTAGATGCTGGGCCCCATACAGTCTGAAGTCTTACGAATGACTGTACATTCGAACTACCAAGACACGTTTTCGCGAAGAGAAGCAGATTTTCAGACCTTCTCAATTCCATTAGAGTGTTGATAACTCACCATAACACTCTAAATGCAGCCACTGAGAAATCTCGCGGAGATAATTAGCTTGCCGCTTAGAATAACATTATCCGCAAGAGAAAGGACTAAAAATTTATTATGAAGGCAAAAATATTACAAACCAGAACGTTAGAATACGGAAATTTGAAAGACATCAAACGATTTAGTCTAATAACGAAAGGACCTGTAATGGTATGAAAGTAGGTGGTTCAACGTAGAAATGATATTTTGTATGAGGTTGAATTCGATGAAATTGCGAAAAACAAACATGCAGAATAACTAAGAGGATGACAGGTAAAAAGGAAATACCACTAACAGAGATCGGATACTTAAAGCCCATCAAGATAATAGATTAAAGACTGGCTTACAAATAAAAAGAGCTTCAAAACCACTCTATGTAGCTACGTTATAATGACGAATTTATTTTATAGTGTGGAAATCTATAATATATTCGCATAGAGAGGGGTGGTAATATTAATGTTTGTTGATTATTACGTATTAGTTATAAATGAAGAGAATTGATTAAAAGGATCGTATATTAATTAATATTACTTTTTTTTGGTTGCTTGATACAAATTGGTTTACTATCCCTTTGGATTAAATTAAATAAACATTTATCTTATTAATTCTATTGTAAAATAATAAAATTAGTTATACTATTTTTTTTGTGAAATTGTATTTCCGGTGTTCAACAACAATTTAAATATTTTTGTTGTTCTAATATAATTTTGAATAATATATATTCTGTTCACTATGATTTTACCATACAAGGGTACGATATTGACACTTTTACATATAAAAACACAATTACGAATATTAGTATATAACCAGCGTCTACATGAGCACGTGGTAGAGGGGGGGGGGTAGATTTTTGCTTTCAATTCTTTAAGGGGGTTAATAGTCTTGTTATAGACCTATTATAATAATACAACGATATTGCTAAACATCGTCTAAATTAATTTTTTAAATAAAACTTATTACTGGATAATTTTTTTTTTGCTATCTTTTTAAATGTAATTTAAAAGGTCATGCCAATGACAATCAATACGCTATAATAATGCATAATTGTAAATGGAGGGATTTAAAATTATTCTAAATAATTGCTCTTTTACATTCATTTTTTTAAAATAAAGGTAATAGAATATTGATAATTTTAAATGTATATAAAGGGAGTACCAATAAAATTAAAAACGTGTAATTCATATTAAAAAAAACATTCCCTTACCTCTCCACCTCCTTATCTTACTTACTTTCAAACCTTCCGGAAAAGAATATTTGATTTGCACTACTTTATTTTCTGAATATTACCAGATGATTTTACCGAATACAAAACAAAAGAAAATCCAAGACAATGATAATTAATAATTGCTCCACGAGCAATATACGTATAAACATTTCATATATAATATTATAAATATATGTATGAATACAAAT